TGGGGGGGGGGGGGGGGTTAAAAACAGTATAATCAGCATAAAAGCAAATTTATTCATATAGTCATATAGTGGCAACATGCCACTAATAATAATATTAAGATGCATTAAGTTCGGGTCATTGTATCTTTACAACCGTCAACAAAGCCCACCCTCTCTCTAGTCAGCGGCTTGTCTCTGTTCGCTCCCGCCAAAGATTTTTACGGCAGAATTGGTATCGCAAGTGTTCGAACACTTCCCGAAGAATGCAGCAGGACTACCATCGGTTTGGCATATCCCCTGCGTTTTACGATGTAGAGCTTCGATCACTCGTCGGCCATTTGGGCTTGCTCTTGGAAGATCGATAGCTGTGTATGCCTCGAGCCGGAAAGTCGGGGAGCGGGCAGTGAGATTGGGACCATGATCCAGCTAATCAGAAGGTATGCCGTGGAACACACTTGCTTGAGCGTACCAAAACGGCCTAAGCTCAGCTCCATCCTTCCCTAAACCCCTAAAGGCCTAAAACCNNTAAAGCCCTAAAGCCCTAAACCCCGGTTCCATCCTGTTTCCGAGATCTTGGGCCAAGGGTCCCCGCAGCAGTGGAGAGCCCCGCACCACACATGACCACCACGTCCTTGCACTCGTGGTCTTTCAGATACTTTGCGATTCCTCCGGGGGCCGAATCCGTTTAGGGTTTTTGGGCTTCGGTTTTGAAGATTTATAAACTTTTGCTGTAAGGAGATCGGCTTCGGAGATGGAGATTCTTGCATGACTTCGGGCTTCTTTGCTGTGGAGACGCTCCCCGGCGCGCTGAACCCCAACACCCCAACTCCTGCGCCCCAACGCCCAGAACCCGACACCCTGCACTTGGTCTCCCTAAACCCGACATCCCAAAGCAAAGATCTCAATAAACAAATAGAGCCCGAGTCGAAGTTCAAGACACTAAGCGACTTGAAAGCTGCCTCTGATCAAGGGACTAAAGGAGAGATCCCTAAAGGGACCCTTGGGGTATATAGGGGCTTTATGAGACTATCCCTCCTCTTGTCCCTTAATCTGAATACGACCGAAAGCCTGGCCTGCCACATCGAAGGAATCGAGGACGGGTTCCTCTGGCTCCTCCTTGCCGGGTTTAACTTCAAGGTTTCTGAAGACCCTAAACCCTAAACCCTTAAACCCTAAACTCTCTAAACCCTAAACCCAACCCTTAAACCCTTAAGCCCTAAACCCTTAAACCCTAAACCCTAAAAGGCTTCGGGGGCTTGGGATTCCACTCTTAGGGTTTTGGCTTGGGCTTATGGGGCCGCAGCAGTGTCGTATCACGAGGCTTTCGAGGTTCAGGGTGTTTTCTTTTGGTTTGGGCCCTTGTAGAGTTTGAGCTTTTAGGGCTTTTGGGGGACTTGTATGTCGAAAGAAGCTTCAGTTCCAGAGTCAGAGTAGAGCTGCAATAGAAGGGGCAAGCTACTCTTGGCGTTTAGCATTTAGGTGGTTAAGTGCCTCTTCCTCCGGGCTTAAAAGCTTAAGCCAGAAGGCCTTTCGGGTTACAAGACCAACCCCTTCACTTGCAGTACTCTCCTCGCATCCGTGGACAGGCAGGCACCTGCCACGGACAATGTCCCCGGGCTCCTTATATATTACGATGATGATCATTATTATTGCTATTACTACGGCTGATGGTGCAAATCCTGCATTACCCATAATAAGGAATATACCATAATTCCCATAGTTTAGGGTCCTTAAGGTAACGCAGGATTGATATTATCAACCGCATTCTCATTAATTAGTCCTCTTAATATGGCTCCTTTTTTTGAGAGGGGAATCTGAGGCTCCTGAAACCCCAAACCACGGTGTTCTGCCTTGAGAAAGGAGCCGAGCGCCAAAGTAGGGTATACCCGGAGAATCAAGAAACCTAGTCAGCCGGCTATGAGTAGAGATGTGAGACTATAGTAAGTATCTTCTGACTCTGATTGCATTACTAAGACTTCCAAAACCCCTATCCTAGAAGCTGGCAAGTTCTTCTTGGTATGATCGCAGTAGTGAGAGGGCCATGGATAGTTTCAGTCGCAGTCCTCCGGCACTGCGTTTCCGGCGAGCGCATCGAGGGGATGAACTCCTTCGCACATGCCCGATCTCCCAGAATCTCTCACATATTTTTCTTGCCATCGTCGATGCCGTGATGCCGTGATTTTGCCGTCTACGATTGTGGCTTCTGAAGCACCATCGTGAGCTGGGGATAAACATCCAGCAATACATCATCATCGTCATCACATCATTGGTCATCCACATCATCCACATCCACATCCACATCATCATCATCATCATCATCATCATCAGCAGCAGCCTCATCATCAGCCAACGAATGCCAAGCAACGGCACTTCAGACTTTACTCTTTGCCGAAGTCTTTTGCCAATGCACGTAGACGCACCTTAGGCCATAATACTGCATCCTTTAACTTGTCGTCGAAGCAAGCAAAGAACCTCGGACCATCCCTTGCATGGGTTCCTTGCTTGGCCAATTTCCGAAGCTGAAGTAATACCTCCTCCTGGGCGTCATTCAAGGCGTCTTTGGTATACTTTGGTTGCTGGCGGTCGCTTGTCGCACAGGCTTGGGGCGTCAGGGTTCAAAAACAGGGACGGAGCTGACCTGACCCTCGCTCAAGGTCAATGCGTCATTCCAGTCGAGGGCCTTGTTGGTGCGCAGGTGCTGGATGCTCATAATTCGAATCTTCCTGCTTGACAGAGCCGTGACATCAAGCCGCCAAGCATTCAACAAGATTCCAGAAACCCCAAAATCCTGAATCCGCGCCCGACCTCCAGACCCGTAATCGCCCTAAGCCCTGAACGCCAAGTCCGGCCCGGGCTTCGCGGGACCTTCTTCGCTGATATTGGGGCGGCTTTAATTTAACTTTAATGATTAGAAGGGGGTCCTCTACCGATATTCGTCCTAAGGACTTTGGGGCGTGGGGCTGCAGGGTTTTCAGGCTCAGGCCTTCACTTCGGTGCTTATGTGGACCTTGGGTTTGTGGGTCGGGTCCGTCCCTCCTACACTGGAGCCAGGCATCTTGCCCCTCGAAAACTCCAGCTTCCTCCAGCTGAAGCAGAATCTCCTCACGGCCATGGGTCGGCAACGCCAAAGGCTCTTAAGTGGCTGAGATGGAAAGGAGCACCTTTAATTTCGTGACATGGCCGTCACCAAGGTCCTCCGGATCTGCCTGTGCCGCAGTTGGGTCAGCTTCGCGTTCACTTTCCGGCGATGCTGGCGCCTGACAGGGAACAAACAGGGCGAGTAAGCACAAAATTCCCCATACACACCTAACAGCAACCTAGACTAAACAATGCACATGCACCGGCCAGAAAACAATGCTTCCTAAATCCCTGGACCTCCCAGCACCACTCCCACAGTTTGAAGCTCAAAAAGCCCTGAAATCCGCAAGAGCCTAAGTCCTGAACACCCTGCAGCCCGCTTGCCCCAATAAAGCAGCGCCACCCGAAAAAAAAAAACCTAACAAAAACAACCACAACCCTTAACCCCGGAATCCCTGTGCCCGAAATCCCGAAAAATGCGCTACAAAGCTGACAACCGAGCACCCAAGCCCTGACCCAATCCCTACAAACCCGCCTCGGAAAATTCCCGGGGGCCGGCCGCGGCCAGGACTCGAGGCACGCGCAGAGCTGGCCCGGGCAGCCACGTCCGCTCCTGAAGGGCAGGAACGGCGTAGGGTTTTTTCCCTCTCACATGGCTGAGGATCTATGCCCACTAGCGTGCTCGGAGGGTTTAGGGTTTAGGGTTCAGGGTTGAAAGATATAACTTATTGATTTGATATTATGAATTATGATTGTTGTTGTCCTCCTCCTGTTGTAGTATTGTTACACGCTAGTGCTGGTGGTGTCATTACCCAAACAAACTTACGACTATTTTCTCATTAGCATTGCCTCTAATGTGCTTTGTCTTGAAAGAGCTAATGCCAAGTTTATCACTGTATGTTGGTGTCCCGTTATTTGTGTTACTGTTCCCGTGCATTGTTAATAGAATGTCATTGCCGCCTACATAGTAGCTCAGACGGTCTTGCAGTGATCTTCGGACTACTGTCCTACCTAACCTTCACAACAAGTGACTGCATCTCGGGGTCTCGGCCGAGGGAGAAATGGAATGAAAGGTCGAAACAAATTCTTAAAGGGTCAGCAAGGCATTTGTGCCAGTTCTTTTCGGGATCAAGGTGAGTTCGGCTTTGCCTGTTTCGCTACAATCAATCCCACGCAGCAGAAGTCGTTTATCGACTTTGGGAGGGATTGGGTGAATTTGAGCTTTTCGTGGATTGGATGTCCGCGGGTCAACATGTGCAGACGATTGATTGCACTGGAACTTTGCCGTGGGAGGGCTTCAGGCTTAAAAGGCCTACGCTGTTGAAACTCACTTGATGCCCAAAACGCTAAACCATAACACCAAAACACAAAACACCAAAGCCCCAATGTTTCACATCTCCTAGATAAGCGACTTATAGAACTCTTCCCTCTCCTACTCACTGCGCCCCAACATTGCGTGCCAGTGCTTCTGAGACGAGCTCAGACCTTCGACATCTGTCAGTTTTTGTTGGACATCCAAGGATCTGGTACCACTCGGTCTGAGCAGGCCCAGTAGCTCACCTGGGCTTCAAGGGCCATCTTCCTCGACCATCTGGTTATCTGAATGGAATCTTCGACCAAGCGATTGGGAGGATCAAGGGCTTCCCAAATCGGGACCCAGGGCTCAGGGCATGGACCCAGGACCTCGAATTTACTGGGCTGTAAACCCCAAAATAAGGGACGTCTTGACCATTATCTGGTTTGCAGGGGCTTTGACTGTGCTTCGCCGGCTTCGTACTACATCGTGCAGCTTGCCTTTCTTGTAAACTTGGTATAGGTACTTGAAAACCAGGCACTTATTTCCGGAACCGGGACTTGATCTATTCTGGTCCTGGTGGTCGTTTTGTACAGGGCATTCCCCGTACACTTATCTCTGGGTACAGACGGACTTCAACACGAGATCTTAGCTTGTGGCCGCCGAGACGCACCCAGAGCAAGGAACCATCTGCTGGGACGATGCGCAGTGCAGGACAGCAGTCGCCGCCACATCGGGGCACATGCTCGGGCGCTGGAATCGCAGTCGTAAATTCAGGTTGGGCGGTTGGGCATGCAGCTACGTAGAATGCAATTTTGGGTTTGGTTCGCCGAATCCACGCGGCTACGGGTCTGTCGGCCAACGTCCATGCTGCCAGGCCCTGAGAATGTCACAAGCAACCGTGACTCAACGGTCCTCCAGCGAGGATGGTGCAGAATGCAGTTCAGAAACTGCTGACCTTCGGTGCTGGAGTGCGCGCACGGGCTGTGAGATGGACAGCAGCTGGCGAAGTCAACCTCCTAAAGCAACCAAAACCATCATCAGCATCTAAACTCAGAAAGGAAAGAGCAGGAGTTGCTGCCCACACTCTGCAATGCTCTCAGTCGCAGACAGGTTCAAATGCCGCCTTAGTGGCTGCCCTGGAGCGGCCTTCGGTGACTTTGCCACTTTAAGGGGGGTAGGAGGGGGGGTTCGACTCACACACTCGCACTCGGCTGGCATGGCGTTAGGGTCTGAGCTTGCTATTGGGGGTTTAGGGGTTGTTTGGTCTCTCAAGACTTGACTAGAGCTTGACTACAGGCAGGAAGAGATCATGCAGGAAGCATCGGCTCTGTGGGTCCCGAGCCTTTGTAGCGGCAAGGGCTTCCTGCAGCACCTGGACGTTGGCATACCGGGGATGCTAGGCCTGAGACTACTGACAGGCCCCAGACGTTCTGCCAGCCCCCTCGAGCCAAAGAGCCCCAAACATCGTACCTTTACTTCGAGTCTTCAGCCCAAGCTCAAGTTGGTGGGAGTAGAACAAGCTCTAGTGCCTCCTTGACCGGCCAACCCCTCAATGGACTTTCAACTTTCAACTCGGGCTACTTAAAGCATGTTCTATGAACACCTGCGCGACACGGCATCATGCACAGCATAGTCCCAATTCTTCTCCCTCCGCCTGCCGGCTTGTGAAATATCTTGACCCAAGCCTGGGGCCCTATACCCGAAACTATATACACCTCTTTAGCAACCCCAAAACTCTACCTTAACACCTGAAGCCTCAGAAGCTTAAACTCTCCAACCCGTATCCCTGCCTGCAACTTGTCGGCATCCTCGGCTGTTGAGCTTTGGCTGCCGCGGCAGAGGGGGCAGCTCCGCGTGGATCTGGTGCTCCGAGGTTCGAAGGGCTTCACAGAGAGCTGCGTTGAAGGGTTGTGGAGCTTAAATCAAATTCCAGATCTTGTTGTTTAATCAAACCCAAAGGGAAATAGGTAGATCTCTAGATCGGATCTTTCTTCGTGATGTTTCTGATTGAAACTGCGTTGGTCTCTCAGGTTTTGCAAGCTTTTCTCGGGCTAACCAGTTTTATTTAAGGATTGCAGCTACTGGTAGCATCCGTTATAAGTGAGAAAGACAGCGAGTTTGCATTCTTTGTCCTGTTGAGGCCAGGCTCTTCCCAACAATGAACCCTATCCCCATAGAAGCCCAAACTCTAAACCCTAAACCTAGACACTGAAGCCAACTGCGTCCACCCAGCCTCGTCACCAACTCGCTGGCCGGCACGCCTTCCGGCAGTGTTTCGCCGGTGGCTTCGCGCCACTGAGCAAGACCTGAAAGGCAACGCTACAAGATCAAGAACATCACAAGCGGCACCGATATTCGGCAGTAGAAATTATAAGTACTGTTGCACGCAGAATGCGGGGACAGTGCACGTGGCGACCCGACTCTGCCTGTTGACCTAATGCAGTCTGTGGCCGAGGAATCGGCACTCCGTGTGTAGATTCCTGGACGGGGCTGCTCGACAAACACCAGACTGGAATTCTGATCCAGTAACCCGGACCGCCCATTGGCCCATACTCCACATATCGTAAATCATGCTTGAAGGATCCTTAACGGCCTTATCATCATCCAAAGCATGTTGCTGAAAAAACGATTGCAGGTTTCTCTTGGTATCCTGAAGCCCTGAGCCCTAAGCACTCATGTATGAAAATACATACTTATGTATGTATGTATGTATGTATGCATGTATGTCTATCTATCTATCTATCTATCCATCCATCCATCCATCCATCCATCCATCCATCCATCCATCCATCCATCTATCTATCTATCTATCTATATATATATATATGTTTTCATGTATGTTTTCCCCGTCATGCACATGTGTATGCACATCCATACGTGTATGATGTGTGTGTGTGTGTGTGTCTTTTTTGTAAGTATGTATATGTGTGTATACACGCGTACGTATGTATATCTGTACATATTGTATATTTGTATATGTATAGCGTTTAACCGCATGTTGACCTGACTTGTTTTCCACAGTCAGTTCCCGTAGACCTAACCCGCCTCCCGTAGTAGTAGTCGTAGTAGTCGTAGTAGTAGCAGTAGCAGTTGTAGTAGCAGTGGGCAGATGTGGTCGGCCCCCAGCCCCTGATGTCGCAGCCCTAGTTTGTGCAGGCCAACCATCAAACTTCAACAAGTTCAGGCAAGGGTAGTATAGGGGCATAAATAATTACCAATACTATTTTGGTTTGCCGCATATAGTTACAGTGTAATACCCCTTAAAAACCATATTATCTTTATGAAGGCCCCTATATTAGACAGAGAGAAGCCAAGAGAAACAAAGAGGCATCAGCCCTGGTCGGATCTCAGCACAAGAGATTGCCAGCTTCACCGGTCGCTGTTTCGCTGATATGACATCGCCCAGTATCCGCACTCACGTCCCAGCAGCACGGTTATGCCAGGCAGTATCTCCATGATGAAGCCGAGACAACAGGTGCAATGACTGCCCGGCATTCCTTCTCTCCCGCAGCCACTGACTTTCAAGACTGCTGCTTTGAAGGTGTGGCACTGATCTGTGGTGCCCAAAGCCCCTTGATGCCCCAAGTAATCCTGAAAGCCCAAACCTGTAGAAATCCGAAATCATAGAAAATCCCAACCAAATCAAGTCCACTACACCCTAGACTATCCCTAAACCTCCCAAGGCCCATAGCTACCAGATGCAGCGCTCCTCCCGCAGCCGGCACAGCAGCTCGCACCCGCCAGTGTCTCCACTGGGTCAAAGCAAACCGGACAAGGCCTCGAGTGCGGGGTTCAGGGTGTGACCTAGGGACCGTAATCATGAGACTAGGGTTCCATCACGGTTTAGAACGGGCTTGGATAATCGGAAAAGGGCTTTGGAGGTATCGTAGAAGTAGGGGAAGACCACGAGGGACACTATCACTAAGTATGCAGATCTCGATCATTGGGGTTGAAGGTGCGCGCATACTTTTGTTGACACTCACACTGGGGCAAAGCCAGGCAGGGTCTGAAATACTGGGTTCGACATCAATAACGAAACATACTGGGCAGGTGTCCCCTGCGGGTAGTAGGTTTGAGCTTGGGCTTACAAGGCTGAAGGCTACTCGCGGTTTAGGCTTCAGGGGCTTGTTATTGCTTTTCGGTGTTTGGAAGATTTAGTTCAGCAAACCCCGATGCCGGAGGTGTTCTGGGGCCCCGGGCGCACCGGGACTCTGCCGCACTACAGGGCCTGCACTGCGGCAAGCAGAAATGACCTGAGCTACCAGGCAATGCGAGGCTTTAACGCTTAATTATGTTTAATTTGGCGATTATAGCTACGATTGAAAGTTTTTTCAGACAGTGACACCCGGGCACACGTGGCGAGCCGCGAGACCATGCTAGCATGCGCAAGCTCAGAAGAGCAGCATGCCAAGAACCGTCTTTGACTTCCAAACAGCCGGCTCTTTGACTTACTTTTGTCTCGGCATCGTGCGTGCGCAGCATTGATTGCCTACATACCGAGGGTTGGACATTGAGTCTTCAACTCCCAGTCGGGACAGGCTGACAGCATGAAGCGAAATATCCGAACCACAAATCCGGCAAGTTCAACACACCTAAAAGCACCCCATCGCAGCTGCGGGCTCGCTTGTATATACTACTTAATGATGCTTTCCGGTTCACATCATTCCTGCGCACAGTGATAGAGTGTGTGAGATATGGAAGCATGTTCCTTAAACCCTAAACCCTCCCTAATCCCAAAACCCTAAAGCCGGATCTGCTTCTAAGCTGGTTCTGGCAGCCTCTACTCACGGCCAGCTCCAATCATAGATGGCTCTGACCTCGGGTCTAACAGGGCTTCGACTCACAGGGTCGCACAAGGCTGGCATGGCATACAGTGTTTAGGGTTTAGGGTCTAACAGGCGATCATCAGCAGTAGATGATTTTGCACAGCCGCGAAAGTCAGCGCCAGGTCTTGCGCTTTGTTCCGGGTTTGGGGGCTTCGGTTGCACAGCTCCCTTCTCCATACAGGGGCTGAAGGCTTCAAACATCCACGCGCGTAGCCGAAGCCCTAGCACCGAAAAGGCTACTGAGGTGAATCTCATGTTTCTCCGCTGTGGCTCCTCATCGGCTTTAGTCACCATGGTCACAGCCACTCGTGGCCACCATCATCGGTAGTGTAGCTCGTCATGCAGGCTACGATTCCCTGGGACATGGAGTTCATGGAACGGGGTTCGCCAGTACTTTGACTCTGGGAGTTCGCTGTATGTAAGGTTTTACAAATGCTTTATAGAGGTAGTTGTTTTGAAAATAACACATTCTGACAAGGGGAGCTATGCTGATTCAGGTGCCCACCACTTAGAATCGCCTTTCTGGCATGGATTTAGGATGGTTGGTTAATCATATGTGTGTCTCTTGCCTGGTACTCGACCCCAAGTAAAGAGACGCACGCAGCTGCAGTACACTGTTTGAAAGCCAGGGGGAAGAAAGATGAAACAGCACCAACAATCAAACATCTCTCAAACATCGCCTACTGTACCTGACCCGTTAAACGATGACAAAGAGCCTGTGCAGATGTCAAACTCAAGCTTCCAAACCTGTCCCACTGAAGCTGCCCACGGTTCCTGCTGCATGGTTCCGAATGTCTTGCCGCGGTCAAGCACAAGTAGTGCTGTTTCTTCTTTGGCAATAAAAATGCTGTTTTGGCCGTGGGCGGAAGACATGCATGCTGCACCGGGCTTCAACAACCGCGACAAGCTCGAGGCAGGCGCCCCACCGGAACCACACACAGGATCCGACAGCTGCAGCAACCAAAAGCTCATCCAACATTCAAGATCCGAAATTAGCGATCCTGAGGCTGCCATGGCCATGTGCCGCCCCAAATACACCGTGTAGCTGCGTTACTGCTTAGCAAGTCCCATGGTGGCCCTGAAGCTGTGGAAGCTTGAAGGGTCTGCCGAGCTGCGATAGAGCCCGGCCCAGCCTCACAGGCCGACTCCGGTTTGAGGGCTTTTTTGTGTTGACACCTCGTTTCCTTCCGCCTAGGTCGAGGTTGGACTGCCACTATGGCTGAGGCGGGGTTTGGGAGACCGAGACCGAAGGAATTCGCCCACCTAGCCACCGGATTCCCCCAGACTGGCAGAGCTCCGGTCCCCCGCAACCAGGACGTCAGCTTTCTGTTACTGCCCTGTGCCCTTGCGCAAACTGAGGAAACGCAACAAGTGATGCGAAGCAGCGTCAGACATCGTCAGACCCCACTGGGCCACCGGCGGCTTGAGGGGTTTAGGGTTTGGGGTTTGAGGCTTCTTTTCTCCCTCTCGCATTGCAGAGATCAAAGCTCGCGGCGAGGCTACATGGGGTGCCACAAGAGCTTCAGGTTAACGCTTTAGGGCTTCGACCTGCGCTCCTGCAACCGGGCAGGCATGGAAGGGGCCAGGGGCAGGTTCGCGTAGCTTCATGTTGGAGGTTCAAGCCAAGCTTCTTTGGCCGAAGCTGCACGATGTTCAAGATGTTCGTTCGGAGTTTTTCTTACAGGGCATAGTGCTGGCAAAATTGAGAAAACACTCGACTAGATAGCGGCTTTATAGATTTATTCAACAAGCGAAGCCTGTTCTTTGAGGGCACTTGCTGGAAGCACAGTTCGGTGCTATGTCACACAGCGACCTCGAGCTCGCCTTCCTCCTCCTCTTCCTCCTCCTGCCACTGCTCCTAGTGCTGCTGATAATGCCGCGATGACTTTTGATACTGATTTAATGAGTGCCTTGCCATCCTTATCCATCCTGCATTACAGAGCTCCACGTCTGTTTCTTCCGGTCGTACTGCAAGGCACAAGGAGTGCCTTGACATTTTACGATCATAAATAAGACACGCTTTAATTTGCTATCACGTCCTTCAAGGAGCCGCTGTTTGTAACATAATACATTATGCGAAATTATACGGATCAATGTCTACCACGCTTCTTATAAACAATATGTAGAGGGAGATATAGGAATAAACATATGCAGGCATTCATCTTTAGACACAGCCTGACTCTGCAGCGTATTGATCGCAATGGCTGGGCTGCCTGGAGTTCGACGAGGGCAGAGTGCCAGGTGAAGAGCTGCGAGTTCGTGCGGGCAGGTAGCGATTGACCCCAGAACCTCGGTAGCCATCCCAAGCCTACAGTGCGAAGCCATAAGAATCACGATGTCAACTCCCATCGAATCCGAAGCAGCTACAAAACTACTGCTGTGTGATGTATGCTCGCCTTAAAGGGGCCAAGGGGTTAAACAGGGACGAAGGCGGCAACAATGCAAAACAGGATCGGTCTAGATAGGGGCTCTGGGTCAGAGTGGAACCGCAAAAGCCGGAACCCTTCTGAGACGAGAGCTTGTACAGGTACTTCATCAGCGTGTTCCTTGCTGGGGCAATATATTATATTATATTACCTTACAATAAGTTATTGCTTCAGATATGGGACACCATGTGCCATATGCACCATTGTGCGGAGGTTGGCACCAAGGCTTGGGACTGGCGAGCGCTAAAAGCTGGCACAGTGCAGGGCTCAGATCGTGGTTCGAGGCTGGTCGAGGCATGTGTTGAGACAAGGTCAACTTC